CATCAACCCAAAGATATAAACAACGATTTCAGGCAAATTTCTGTGCTTCCTCATCTAGCTAAAATGATAGAGAAAATCCAGTTGGAACTCAACTCTCATGATCTGGCAATAAAGGACGACCAACATGCTTTCGTTAAAAATCGATCTACTGTTTCAGCCCTGATCTCGATGACCCAGAAGTGGTTTGATGTAACAGATAACTCCAATATTGGAAGAAAAGGGGTCCATACTACGTTTTTGGACTTCAAAAAAGCATTCGACCTTGTCGACCATAGAATTCTATTAATAAAATTAGCGGAAATGAATGTATCGAAGGCCTTCTGGTCGTGGGTGAAGTGTTTCCTTACAGAGCGGACTCAACATGTGAATTTACATGGTGTTATATCCTCAAGCGCCCCTTGTCCAGCTGGAGTCCCGCAAGGCTCCGTTATTTCCCCAACACGGTTCAATATTCATATTAATGATTTGGAAAACACGTTAACAAACAACTTTACAAACACGCACAAGTATGCAGACGACTGCACTCTTGATGAGGTCGTTGCAAACGAAGCCCTTTCAAATATGCAGGAATCGACTAATCAAGTGATGAATTGGACCAATGATAATAAAATGGTGGTGAATCCCAAAAAAACTAAGGACATGTGGATCAGTTTTTCCCAATCTTCTCCTGAACCCCCACCTATACAAACGGATGGAATTGAAATAGAAAGAGTAAACTCCTTCAAACTTCTCGGTGTATGGGTGCAAAATGATTTAAAGTGGAATACCCATGTTTGTAAAATAACAAAAAGAGCAAATAAGCTATTATTCCTTCTCAGAGAGTGTAGGAAATCCTTCCTACCACCCGAGATTGGTTTATTAACATATACGTCGAAGATCCGGCCAATACTTGAATACGCCTCTCCAGTTTGGGGTGGAATCCCTAAATATCTTGAAGTAGAAATTGAACGTGTTCAACAAAGAAGCTTGAGAATCCTAGGATTGGAGAAAGATACCCTCCCTACACTAAAAGAAAGAAGGGACAAGGCAACATGCAACGAGCTGAAAAGGATCGTGGAAGCCCCAAACAACCCATGTAATCGTTTCCTATCTGGTAATAAGAATCACACTTACGAACTGAGAAGGACCAGAGACAGCACTCCAAGACAGCTCTCAAAAACACACAGGCATAGTACGTCTTTTATCCCAAGGGCGTGTAGATTAACCAACTCATGAAATTAGATCATTGTACATATGTATATAAAACTTTTTAAATTTTCTAAGTTTTACATTCTCATAGGTTATATATGTATTTTAGTATAATATTTTTAACTTGTAAATCCATTGTATTTCTATATGCCAAAGATGGATATCTAATAATAAAATTGATTAAAATTGAAGAACGACCGGCGGTAACACTTCGCTATTTGGCAACAGGAGAGTCTTTCAAATCTTTAGAATTTCAATTCAGGATAAGTCGAACTGCTATTTCTGTTATAGTAGTAGAAACATGTCACGCAATCTTCAACGTTTTGTCCAAAGAGTTTCTTAAATTTCCATCTACCCCTGAGGCATAGAATAAGAAATGAATAGAAGGGCAACTCGCGTGTACAACGCGTCCGTAATTTTTTATGCGCATGCGTGAGGTCCGCCATTACTCTGGCCAGTAAACTGGCTGCTGGCGTACTATAGATTATATGGAGAAGAGTAGTGTTTGGGCTATAAATTTGCCTTTTTCGTCCAAGTTTTTCAATGATCGTGAAAGTTTTTGACAGAAGATGAAAGAAATAAGGTGAGGCATTGCAATTTATTAGGTAAAAGCAATCTAATTAAGGACGTTGTATTAGCAAATACTGACCTTTTTTATACTTCACAAATAACAAGTGTTGTCTTCTGTAAAATAAGTGGTTTTTTGAAGTTTGCAATTTTGTATAAAACAAACTGATAGACTATAGTATAGTATACAAATGTACTGCAGGTGAATCGGAAACATTGCTAACTATGCCCATATCATAGAAGCATTTCATCTATTGTTTTTTATTCAACCAGGTATTAAACAGCATCAGAAAAGTCATAAATTGTTGTTCTTTTATGTTATAATTATCAAGGCTATAATTAAAATATAGAGACTGAGTCGAATTTTAATATGTATTCTGGTGAATGCAAACTGAAAGGATTGCCTGACCACGGTTAGGCATGGTGGGAATCGAACCCACGACCTTTGGGTTATCACTCCAATGCTCTACCAACTGAGCTACGAGGTCACGTAAGTATATAACACTAACACACACAAAAAGTATCATATCTTAGAATACATTGATATCGAAGGAACCACACTCAGTTCCAAAATATCACCAACTCGAACTGACTTAACCTAGTAGTTCAGTTGGTTGAGCATTGGACTGGTATCCCATTAAGGTCACAGGTTCAATTCCCACCATATAGTCAGGCAAACTTTTTAGTTTGTCCCGGTGTGGATGCACACGCAGAGTAACACCACAAACATCAAGTTATGACCATGTTTACACTTCATCCATGCCTGACAATCACTGACACAGGCAACACATCAATTTGCCTGAGTGTATGGAATGTGCAATTCCTCTGCACCGGACGACAGTGAGTCTAGGCTCTAGGAATAGACAATTCCCATTTTAGACTAATTTTAAAACTGGGCAAGGAAACTAAAATAAATCAGCACAGCTAGAAAGAGCATACTAAAATTAGTAAAATTACGAAGTTTGGTTTACGAAATGTTGTAAAATGAGGAAAATATAGGCTTGTAAAATTCGAAAATTTTTGTATACTTTTGTATTGCTTCCGGAAATTCCTACCACATTCCTACCACATTTAGGCCGAAAATGTCGCACGCAATACAAAAGTACACAAAATTTGCAAACTTTGCAAGGCTATATTTTCCACATTTTACACATACAACATTTCGCAATCAAATTTTGTAATTTTACTAATTTTAGTATGCTCTTTCTAGCTGTGGTGATTTATTTGCATCTCCTTGCCTAGTTTTAAAATTAGTCTATAATGGGAATTGTCTATTGTGTATCGTTTTTGTGCCGAAAGATTCGACAGTAATATAAACTGTTGTGCACGCAAATCACTGATTTGTGCACAAAACTGGACAGCTTTTTCTTCCCATGCTGGGCAGTTTAGGCCTCTAGCATGACTAGGTCAAGTTGGCAATGTGGCCCTTCTATAACACAGTATTATCCATGTCATAATTTTTGTTTCATTTAGTTTAATTTCTGCCTTCTGGACGTGCTCAAGCCTTGGCAACAAGTACTCAAGTTTCACTCTCTTGAAGACCAATTTGTCAATGATTGGATCATATTGTGTTGTCTTTGTAATATAATATATGTATGCCAGAATGCAGTGCAGAAACATTAAAATTGTTTACAAAAATATGTTGAATACTCTTTCATTTCTCTCCTTGTATTACATTATGCAAGATGTGGACACCAAATATATGAGGCTGTTCCATATGAGATGTGCTGGCATTACAAAATGGACCAGGCTCCCATTTCAAGTTTGTATTCAAATGTGGATACATGCTTTATTTTGCCATTCAGACACCTATAAATCTAAGAATGTAGAAGCTATCCAAAATTATATTGCAATTTCTGCATAATGCTTGCCAGGCTAGCCTGCCTCCACTAGTGCATGAAGGCAAGCTAACCTGGTTTACCAGGCCAGCCCAACTCTTATGAACAGCTCTTAATGTAGAATGTGAATGGGTTTCATATAATACAGTATATTCCTTTTGTTCCTGGAGATCTTATTTTTTTATAAACTTTTTTGCTTTAAATTTCATGCAATATTACATATAGTTCTATAACCTACAGTACCATGCTTTCATGGTCAAAAAATAATGTCACAG